TTCTAATGTGAAGGCAGTAGATGAGCTAATACAAGGGAGGTGGGGGAGTACAGGACTGAGCAAGTTGGGAGAGGGGAGGAGGAAGGTGGATGGGGGGTCATGGTGTATGACACACCTCTTGGGGGCCAGACACAATTATAAGAGGGACATTATCTAACAAATGCAATCAGTGTAACCTAATTCTTTGTACCCTCAATGAATCCCAAACAATTAAAAATATATATTTAGGAAAATACAAAAAATATTTTAAAAATAAAATAAAATAAATTTGAAAAAAGAATTGATAGAAACGTCATGTTTTCTAACTAATATATACCACTAGAAAAATTGCCAAGCAGCTTTGGCTGGATTTGCTTGAGGTCACTTCAGCTTCTGTTAGCTGTGGCTTTCTGTGGCCACCTTGCTTTCAGCACTGTTACTACCACTGTCTCCTCAGGAGGAAGATGTCTTGTCAGTGGCCACTGGGTCCAACTATAAAATGCTTAAGGTGGATGAGGATCTAGGGGAGGGCCCCTGACAATCCCACAGCCCCCTGCGTCCAGGAGGTCCTGCTCTGGGGGCCTGGAGGGTGCTTACACAGTGGTATTACAATGGCAGGCCACAAGGGCTGGCACTTCACCCAGGCCCAGTGAAATTTTCTCACTTGAAATGCCTGGTCCCTTCCCATAAGCAGTTAGAATGGGGAGCTCATAGACGTGGATTTTTCTTTTGAAAATTATGTCCAGGAACGTACTTTACTCCACATTGCCTGGGAAGGAAGAGTTGCTGTGCAGAGGGAAGGGGTGAGGGAGCCACAGGAGCGAGGGGAGCCCCTTGCCCTGCTAGCAGCGTCTGTCTGGGGGTGAAGCCAGAAAAGCCCTGGGGAGTCTGAGTTGGAGGCCGAGGGGTCATTTTCTTTCTCGGCATGAGAGAATCTGAACTGGGGCAGATTTCAGGCTCTTGTAAACATAGGAGAAAACTTGGCAATAACACTATTAATACTAAACTAAAATAAACAAGCAACTACTGGAGTGTGACATTTATTTTAAGACAAAGGAAACAGAATAAAGAAATAATGGTGCAGAAACAAACGAAAAAACAGGCAATCAAAAGACATGGGGGGAGAGGAGTCGTCCCATACACGGAAGTGTCAGGATTCTCACTGGTGTGTACCAGTGAGAATAAATCTCTGGTAAAACCCCTTCCTTTCTCATGGATTCAATGCAGAACCGCCCTAGCATCGCCACCACATGAGGCTGTCATTGCTGCCTACTGTCAGGCACGCACGCAGCACCTGCCCCTCCCCGACCCGCACCAAACAGCGCTCTCCCCTCCCACCCTACATACGTGGTGCCCAGCTCATAGTTGGAGGAAGGTGGGGAGAAAAGTTTCGTGGCCAGAGCCCGGCTCAGTTCAGCCTGTGGTGGCGGTCAGGACTAAAAGCCTGGGCGCAGAAGTCGGGCTCATTAACGCACCCAGCAGAAAATGAGGGAGACCCAACCTAAGACTTAAAGCAAAGGTAACCCGAGAGTGCCACAGAGGGAAGGCTAGGGCCAGCTACTGATGGTTATCTTTCTTAAGGGATGGCGATCACCCGCAAAGCGTGCAAAGCAGAAGAACCTCGCCCAAGTGGCTTTGCCATGCTTCCCGCAGGAGGTGGTACCCAGGGGTCGGACGCAGGAGTCGGCCCCTGTGGGCAGCTCCACACGCCCTCAGTGCGCCCTCAGTTTGGTTCAGGGTGGCGCCAGCGGCTCTGGGTCCGGTCCCCTGGGGCTGGGGGCGGGGCGGGCTGCGTCCGGGGCTCCTCCCTCTTCTGCCCCCAGCTCCCCTGCTCTTAACCCGCGCGCGGGGGCACCCAGGCCACTGGGCTCCGCGGAGCAATCCAGAGGTCAGCGCCGATTCCAAGCCGCGTGCGTCCTGTCCCCAGGCCGACGCCAGCACGCCGCCATGGCCCCGGCAGCGGCGTCGGGTGGCAGCTCCCTGCCCAGTGGCTTCTCGGTCTTCTCCACCTTCCCCGACTTGCTCTTCGTCTTTGAGTTTGTGAGTGGCTCGTGCGCCCCGCGCCCAGACCGGGGGAGGGATGGGATGGGCCGAGCAGCGCGCGCTATCACGGAGACTCCGCACGGCTGTCGCGGCTGGATGTGCAAGCCGCGCAAGTCCTGGGAGGGTTGGGGTAGCGGGGACAGGGTGAGGTGGCTGCAACTACAAAGTCCCCCTCCTACCTTCTGGACAGTTGTCCCCTTCTAGACCAACAAAATGGGGGGAACAGTCTCCAGGACTGCGATAGAAAACCAAATTCTCGGCCTGTGTCGGATGATGGAAGTGGGCCAGGCAGGGTCCATTCTTTGTGCGCTGGTTCCAAAGCTGCGTGCAGGACCCGCTTCGCGCCAGCGGGGCAGAGGAAGCTAGTCGCAGTGCCCTCTGCACCTGTCAGAGAGCAATGTCCTATAGAAGTGCCCCCGCTTTTCTGGGGAGAGAACTTCGTTTTATAAAAAAAAAAAAAAAACAACAAAAAAAACCCTAAGTTTTGAAAACCCGGGGTTGGAAAACGAACGAAACGAAACCAGATTAGTCTCTTCTGGCCTTTTAATGTTTCTAAACAGTGAACCTATTTGTGACAAATTTGATCTGAAAATAAGGAAATAGAGGCCCTAATTTGCTCCACTGCAGTAATTCTGCCCTGTGTGGGGGATGTGGGGGGGACACGCGAGAGCCGTGTGCGTCCCTTGGCTGACCTTGAGCTGTCGGGAGGCCTCTGCACCTGCAGTCGTGCCTTGAGCCCCTGCCTGTGGCTGTGGGAAAGCGCTACCTACTGTGGGTTTTTGATAAAGTGCTCACTGTGCCCCCAGGCTTCAGACTGTCCTCTGCCACAACTCCCCAGAGGCCTGGGAGGCGTGTGCTTTATTTACCCTGTGGGTGTGGTGCGTGCAGTCCCAGGAGTATCTTTTCCTGTGCTCTCACCGCAGAAGCATGGAGAGTTGGTTGAGAAAGAAAACGCTGGAATCTGAATGTTTAAAAACTAGACCCCAGGTTCCTATCACCTGATTGGAGGGGGGAGGGTGTGAACACAAAAGGGAGCAGGCTCTACCATCCATGAAGGACTTGGGGGAAGGTGCAAAAAGAACCAAGATTCCTGGTAGCAGGGGTGTCTGTCATTGAACTTGGGGTGAGAGGTGGGTTGAGCCCAATCCTGGGTATATCCAGTGACTTGATGATGGCTGCAGCCCAAGAAATGACTTTTAGAAAAACCCCTATACACCGCTCAGCCCAGATCCACCTTTATAGATAGGGACCCAGGCCCAGAGTGGGGAGGAGACTTTCCCAAGGGCAGCCTACTTTCCAGTCTCTCCAGGTTCCTTCCATGTTCCAGGTTACCAGCTGAGTGCATGTGCCTCACTTACATGGCAGATGCAGGACCCCTCCCGGGGCTGGCTCATACCCTAGAGCACTCACTGGATTGTTCTTTCCACCAAAGTTTCATCATGATGATTCTCTTTATCATCTATTAGCCCATGTTTGCCCAAGGCTGCATTTCCAAAAATGATTATAGAGCGTCCACAACCTGGGAATGAGTAATGGGTGGTTCCTTCACAGCTTTACAAAGAGGTATTTCCAAAGGCAGTTTCATGACCAAAGAGATGATGTCTTACAGAGAGATGTGATGGGGCAGAGTGGTTTTGAAGCAAAAAAAAAGTGCTTAGTGTCTCTTAAATTGCCCTGAGTGACTTACCCTGACTTTGTAGCTGTTTGGGAAGCATTGTAACAAGATCCAGGAGAGTGTGTTAGTTGGGCTTTGTGCTTCTGCAGAAGATTCGCATATACCTCCTTCCTCTTGCCCTCAAGAGAGCTGGGTTCAAGTGGTGCAGGTGGGTGGTCCTGGCTTCACAAAAAGGACAGCCACCCAGGCTCTTTCTGCCTCCTGTGAGTGGTTTAGGCTGGGGGGAGGAGTGCCCCGGAGGGTAGGAACAGCCCAACCAAGCAGGGTGATCTGATTTGCAGGGGAGGGGACAGGAAGCTCCCACTTAACCCACCAACCCCACAGAGAGAGGTGGGGTGTGGGAAACCTCTGAAACACCAATTAGTGAAAACGTACTCTTTCAGTGGGGTTTTGTGACCTTCAGTATTAGAGGCTTCCTGAAGAAATAATTCTCACTTGCACAGAACACTACCCTCTCAGCTGTCTTAGAAGTTGTTTCTCCTCCATCTCAGCTCTGTTCCCCCATCCCCTCTCCCCACTCCCTGAGAGGCCCGATGCAAACAGATTGTCTCCTCTGGATCTCTTCCTTGCCCCCCCAGATAGGTGTGGGTTCACAGGGTACCTGGGAGAGAAGAGGAGAAAGCTGACCCAAGCCTTCAAGTTTTCCTCTGCATGGATTATAACTACAAAGCTGAGATTTGATATATGGAGGGAGTAGAGAATAAAAGGGCTGGAGGAGGCACTGGCCATCCTAGGAGGGTTTTCTTTTTTCCTGAGAAATCGATAGGTAAATTATTTTATTTTATTTCATTTCATTTCATTTCATTTCAATTACAGATTAATATGAGGGTACCAATAATTAGATTACATTGTTTGCGTTTGTTAGGTAAAGTCCAAGGTGTAGTGGAGCCCTTCACCCAGGAGGTGTGCCATACACCCCTTACACCATGCTCCTTAGGTGAGAACTTACCAATGCCCCTGTCCTCCATGCCCCTTCCCCACCCCCCTTGAATTTAATTGTGTTTTTCCCTTGTGTGGGTAGGTAGTTGTTCATCTACTGGTTTCATATTAGTATTGAGTACATGGGATATTTGCTTTTTCTTGTGATACTAAGGAGAATGTTCTTCAGCTCCATTCAGGTTAATATAAAAGATGTAAAGTCTCCACCTTTTTATGGCTGAATAGTATTCCACGGTATACATATATCACAGTTTATTAATCCATTCATGTGTTGATTATACATCTTCCTGATTGTGAATTGAGCTGTGATAAACATTCTAGTGAAAATGTCCTTGTGGTAAGATGATATTTTTTTTCCTTCTGAGTAGATACCTAGTAATGGGATTTTGGGATCAAATGGAAGGTCTACTTACAGCTCTTTGAGGAGTCTCCCATGGGTTTTTTTTTTTTAATTAAGGAATATTAAAGCTCAGTAACAAAAAGACAACCCAATTAGAAAATGGACAAAGGACTTGAACAGACCTTTCTCCAGTGAAGATATACAAATGGCCAATAAGCACATGAAAAGATGCTCAACATCATTAGTCATTAGAAAAATGAAAATAAAACCAAAAAAGATACCACTTAACACCCATTAGGACCGTTACCATTTTTAAAAAAAATAGAAAATAACGCAAATATAATTAAAAAATGAAAATAAGTTTTGTCCAGAATATGGAGAAATTAGAACCCTTGTATGTTACTAGTGAAAATGTAATAGGTACTCAAAAGATTACCCTATGACCCAGCAATTCCGCTCCTAGGAATATAATCAAAGGATTTAAAGCAGGGACTCAAGTACATGAACATACGTGTTCAGAGCAGCAATACGCAACTGGTGGAAATCGCCCCAAAGTCCCTCAACAATGAACTAAACAATGAAGTACTGACGTATGCCACAAAGTTGATAAACCTTGAAAACCCTATGTTATATGAAAGAAACCAGGCACAAAATTTATTTACATAAAATATCCAGAATACACAAATCTGTAGAGACAGAACACCAACTGGTGGCTTTCCAAGGTTTGGGCGTGTGGGGAGATGAAGAGTATTTGCTTCGCACAACACCACGAATGTACTAAATGCCACTGATTTCGTTAATTTAAAAGTGGTTGGTTTGATAATTTGTAAATTTCACCTCCATTTTAAAAAACCTAAGACCTATTGCAATTACTTTAGAAGACCATATAATACTTTAATAGGCATCCACATAATTATTGCCCAACTTTGTCCAATCTTAATCTTTTACCTTATTTGCTTTTTAGTAGTAAGGAATTAGGCCTTGTCAGTTGGCAATTTAAGCCCCCTGGACATCATTCTGTTATTTTATTCTCTTTCCCACTCCATCCTCAGGCTGAGTGTGGTGTCCATCACTCTCAAGCACAATTTAGGCTTTTCAGGCGCACATCATTCTGAAATCCAAATGGCGTTATTTTACGCGGTTTTGCACTTTCCAAAAACAGTGTCATGCTGGTCACATCCTTCTGCAACATGCTTTCCAGGCACCCCTATGTTTTGAGATTTGTACATGCTGGCATTGTTTATCCATTCTCTGTTAATAGACATTTTGGCCATTTCCAATTTGTTACCTTTAGCTATTACGGATGGCATTTCCCAGGACATTCTCCTATTTGCCTCTGTAGTTAACATGTTGGAATTTTCTTCCAGAAATGCATAGAAGATTTGACTTGACGGGTCATAGGGATATATACTTTCGTTTTCCCAGAAGTTACCCCATTACTGTCCAATTTTCCCACCCCAGGAGTGGATTAACTAAGAAACTGAAGAAGTTTAATTAAATTCAAGACCTCTCACTTAGGTCCCATCCAAGACCCTGCCCAATTTGTATTCTTGTGTAAAGAAGGTCCCCAAATTGTATAAGCTTCAGGCTAACCCGGACCTTCCCTGGCTCCCACCAGCAGCTTATGAAAGTCCCCATTGTTCCTCTTCACTTGGTAGCGTCAGACTTTATAATTTTCTCCTAGTCCAGTGGGTGTGAAAAGCGTGATTATTTTTTAAATCAGTAGCCCAACAAGTTGTTCATGACTCACAGATCAGATTCTCATGCCTGACCTCCCAATAGCCTGGGGGGTACACATGTGCTAGGCTAACAGGGTGGAACCCCCCTGCACCTCTGCAGGAGAGGGACAGCTCACTGGAGCAGGTAAGGGTGGCAGCTCAGGGTGGGGCATGGTAACCTCACTTTGGGCCAGCACCCCTATCCCAGAGCTCCTGACGTCTGAAAGCAGCAGGGTCCTCACAGGAAGAGGAAGGCAGGCCCAAGTAGGCATGCACCCCCACCTTTTTGTGAAGCTGTGCTGCTGTCACAAGTGATGTCACAGGT